TTTGAACTGTCTTCCTTATTATATGCTTCATAATAGGAAAGCATTCACAACCTGGGTAATCAAAATATAGGAACAGACTGAGATTCCACAGCCTCCACAGACCATCACCACTGCAAGTTGCAAAGAACTATCTAAATAAACATCTGCTAAGAATAGCTGAGATATAATTTTGGGACATGTGAACTGGATAAATAACATGAGGTCCCTTTAAGCCATATGTTTCATCAGTCTAAGAAAATAAAACCGATCCTTACAGTTTTGTGTACATCAACAGGATTCTTAACGACAGCAGGTAGGTTACACTACTCTTACTAATTTAATTCTAACCAAATGAATCATTGGCACTGTATCTCTAAAGTCACAACACAGTACTGTATTTTCTTACTTCAGAGGAGAACCAGGGGAGAACCAGAGGGCTTTAACTGATTACTTAGTGGCCTGTGGTCACCAAGCCTAGTCAGGGAGTTCTTTTTCACTCAAGGAATTACTTTTAAAGGAAAGCACCTTTTCTGAAGCACAAAAATAAAATAAAAAAGTTTTGTTCAGCTGACTGCTTTGAGAAGTACCCAAACATTTCCAAACCCCTACTAAATTATGTGTAAGGATGGCTTCCATTACACAGGAAAGAAAAGCTATCAGGGAAACGTATTTGCTACTGTTTAAAACTAAGGTCACCATGGAAAGAAGAAATAAAGATAAATCTCTTGACCCCCCCTCCATGTGCAAGCATTACAGGAAATCTAACAAAGAAAATGTTTCTTAGTAACGGTAATGAGAACTATCCAGGTAACTGTTTAGAATAAGAATTATACAGAGGTTACTGGGTTTCTCTGCAGCCCCCAATTCTTCCGATCCTAATTAAGAGCCCTAATGACAGACTGTGCAAAACTAAGAGGGAATATGAAAGCCTATCACAACTGCAGCAACCAGACATAAAAACCTTAACAGCACAAGAAACAGGAGATGCTATTTACTTTGCTCACATCTGATGATCCTAGCAGCAGCCTTCTAGGCTAACCATTCAGTTTGGCTACAACGTTTAGCATTTGAAATTTATCAAGTTTTAGAGAACACTTCCTTAGAAGGTAGAAGGGTGAATGAATTCTTCACGTGGCAGCTACAACACACAGTCATCAGCTTCATAATCAGAAAAGTTCAAAAATATTACGGTAGATGACAGATTCCTATTCCTGCACACTTGATCAATCTTCCTATGCCAACTGCTTTACATTTAATTTTTTAATATAGATATTTCTCAGGGTAGCTGTAGTTTCAGATGTTTACCACACCGCACAGTCTCTGAATTCAGCCAAGTTCACCGATTAACCTAAAATTAACCTAAAATTTACTCTTTTTAGTCATCTACTTGTATCGCTAAGTACTTTGCCCCTCCCAAATTTATACAATCTCTATAATATACTGGGAGAAAAACATATTACATCTTCCAATTAGCTAATATAACACAGTACTTGACCCAAAAAGGCTAGCGAAGTTTTGGTTGATTTTACCAGATCTCTATTTTCCCAGAGAAATGGGATGAAATAAAGGGCAGAAGAGAAACAAAAAGGTCTTCCCCTGCCCCCATGAAGTATGAACACATTTCACAGTAAGGATTATTAATTGCTTAAAAAGAAATAGAAAAAGGTTGACGTTGTTAATATTAATTCCTTCGGAAACCTAAAGCAGCAGAATGGTAATATGTGTTGCCTATATGATTCTAACAGTTAGAACACAGTGCAAGTACACAAGGTGGAGTTTCACTCACTGATTAAAACGCTAAGGGTTTTTTGAATTATGTGTTTATGGTACCACTACACTGCTTTGATAAACTAAAAATGGTAGAATTGGGAAAACAGCATACAGGCATGCTGAAGGAAAATATTCTATGGCAGCATCTACATGATAGTATTTACATTTAATCAATATTCCACTGGCCATATGTTATAACTATACTTTAAGCTGGGATCAGGACAGAAAATACTTATTGGCAAAAGAAATCCAAAGCAACGCCATGAGAATATGCATACTCCTGAAGTTCCATACCCTCATGAGGACTCATAAATGAGGTGAGATTTGTAGCCACCTGAGAGCTCAATTTTCACTTTTCCATTTCACCTTTGGTCTAGGCACGTCCTGGATAAAATTTATGTCCCATTTTGCATATCAACAGCTTTTTTTTTTTTCTTGCCAATTAGAGATCTAATCTTCATCCTGATACCATTATTTGTGTTCTTGTCCCTAGAATGCACCAGTTATCTCTGCTGCTTCTTAGGGCTGTCTCAGAAACACTTTAATGTTTTGCAAAAGAAAAGCAGAAAAACTGGTACTTTTCTAATTTGACTCTACTGCCAATTAGTAAATTTTCAAACAGCAGCAGCAATTTTAGAAGTGGTCCACTGATTCTGAAAGGAAGTACAAAAATCACTTCAACTAGTTATTTCTTATAACACCAACTAGCACTACACTTTCAAAGTATAAACTAATACAGAAATATTTTAATGTATTTGTAATATTTCTATAAGCTATTTTAAAAGCTTCATCCTCACATAAATAATTGTACTATATCTCCAGATACTACAGAATAACATTAAACTACCAAAAAGGTGATGACTTTTCACTTTAATCCTAACTTAAAAGATCAAATCACAAACAGCAAGGCTTCCACTGACTTCATGGAAGAAAAACAAGGATGACAAGATTAGGAGAAAAACTTTGAAAATCTTATCAAATTTATTGTGATGTCAATGTCACAATTCAGAATATCAAAAATATAGCATGGAATTTTGGTGATAAACATTACAGTTATATGTATATACTTCAATATTCATTAAAATAGGACTTTTTTCTTCAAAAATGTGATTCAACAAAGGACACTAAACAGGCAACTTTAGAAAAGACATGACCAGAAAAAGGGAGGAATACCACCAATATGGCTTGCCTAATGTAGCATTACTAACATTACATTTTATAGTCTTCCTTGTAGGAAGCTCTCCTAAATCAGAAGGAAGAAAAGTTCATGGGCTCTTTGGACCTCATTTGATAAAGAGGCACTAAGTTAGCCTGCTACTAAGTTAGCCTGTTCATTCAGTTACTAAATTAGATTTATACTTACATTAAAGCAGCCTACTCACAACCTTCTACATTAAATATTTCAATTATTTTTTCAGATTCAGATTATTCTCCCACCCGCACATGCCTCATCAGAGGCCTCAAGTCTTAAAGGCTACAGCTACCTTGGACAACTCAAGAGTCCTGTTATTTCCAGTCTGATGTGCTATTTTCAGATTTGCACAATGTCCTTTTCCTAAGCAACGTATTTGATATAACTCTCTCCAACTTATCAATTGCTTTCCATTTGGGGAAGGAGAAATTGTTTGCTTCTCTATTTACCTTAAAAAATGTAAAAGAAGCAAATAACCCTATCATGCTGTATGGAAAAGACAAACAAGCTTCACATTTATGACTAGGGAAAAATATTCCCAAGACCATATTTCCTGAAGTTAACTGTAAGAATCATTCTGACTTACATCTCTCCACCTTCAATATCTTGCACCTTTAGGCTTTAGTGCTGTTAAAACGTCAAAGCAATTCACCATTTGGGGGGGGGGGGGGGAGTAAATTCATCAAAGTCAGAATTGCTGCAACAGGCGTGTACTGATGTGTTGTTAACCTGCAACACAGGGGGCTGAGGGAGGAGAATATTGTGATGAAGTCATGTTGACAGACACAGAAAGATCCTTCAGGCTGACTATAAAAACACTTTACTGATTATTTGATGAAAATTATCTAAGTTAGAAGTATCTGCTACTCATTTCTAAGGCCATCCATGCATACTATGCGCCAAAGAAAGGAATTAGCTACTTTTCTGTCAACAATAGCAGCTGAAAAGTTCAGTAAGTACACCATGCCTGTGCCTTCCAGGCCATTACAGGATTTGTGTCAGCAGCCTATGCCTAGGCCCCTTCCAAGCTGCCGTTTCAGCTGTGAAACTCAGCCGAACAGAGGAAGGAGCGCAGCTGGCTCCAGCCGAACCCCTCCAC